CAGACACACACAGAGAGGGGTAGATAGATAAAGAGAGGTAGATAGATAGATAGATAGATAGAGAGCTTTCAATAAAACACACATACATCACAGACCATCTATTTTCACCTAGCTGTTTGTTTTGGATTTGTCTTTATTCCTGGTGTTTACCATCATGCTGAAGAGACTCCAGCAGAAGCTAAAAGTGAGATACGGGGATAGATGTCAAAGCTAACAGTCGTTTGACACCTGCCCAGTTTTCTGGAACTTGGATGGATGTGTTCTGTGCTTCCCTGAGATATCTCACACCTACAAAGTGGCTTCACACCTGTGTTCACACTCCGCCTGTACTTCACGAATCCAAGGACTGGGATGATAATGTGCATTCCGGGGCACAGGCTACCCTTCTGTGGGGAGGCTGTCCACTGAAGAAACTCAGCACCCCTACATGGGCTCCTACACACTGACCCTAGAAGGAGGACAGTCTTTCTGTCCCTCAGGAGCAGCCTGCCACACCCAAAGAGACTGGGTGTCTTTGGGCCGACTCTCTCTGTCCTCACCTCCTTTACTTAACATTCCTCTTTGTCCATTTCCATCTCTCTCCAGCCACATTTATTTACCTCAGTGGTCTCATCTTTTGTAGGGCAGGAGTCGGCTGCACAGAGCCCTTTTGAAGCCTCCAAGGACAAGTTTATCGCAGGACTCAAAACATGTGTGCCAAATAAAGCCACACTTGTGGTGGGACCAAGCACAGCAAGGAGATGGGTGAAGGTGTGGCAACGGATCCCAGGACCCAATGTGCGAATGTGGGAAACAAATCAGAAATTCCTAGCAGCAGTTTGGTAAGTCGAGGTGAGTGTACACGCCGTCCTGCGCTGGTAAGTCAAGGTGAGTGTACACGCCGTCCTGCAAGCACACTCACAAAAATTACAGGGCAAAACCACAAACCAAACCAACCCTCCAATTCCACCAATTTATGTTTATCTTTAATAAGGAATTAAGAGAATAGAAATGTACAAAATTATAAGGGAGGAGAACCCCTCTTGTATTCTATAGATTCTATGTTCTCTACACACACACACACACACACACACACACACACACACACACACACACACACACACACACACACACACACACACACACACACACACACACACACAAGCTGTATTTAGCCAGAGAATCAGTGGAGACTTGAATATGTTAACCGCTGCAGCAATCCACCCTCTGGCTGGACCACACCTAGATAGACCCAGCCCATTTCACTTGTTACCTCTCTACTCTCCAATTATTTGGTATGCTTGAAACCAAGTAAATGGATTTTGAAATTAGCTGGTCAAATAAAATTAGGAGAAAAAAAAAATATCTAGCCTAGACAAAATCTCTACAGGGTGCCTCCAAGCACAGATAACACTCCATTAGCACACAATGACCTAATCACAGTCCCATTCTGAACGGCTTGCTGTCTTAGAGGAAACAATAAACCTCTGGTGTTATAAAGCGAAGCAACTCCTGGGCCTGCAGACACTAACAGAATATCCTTACTTGGTTTCAGTAAGGGAGTTGGTAAGATCAGCCCTACTAAATTTAGTCTCTGAGCTGATTTCATCACTTCCCATCGTCTCTGCTGACACAAGAGAGAAGGCACAGGGGACACACGCAGCACTAGGCGGGAACCAACCTATTTAACAAGCACAGATTTGTAGCCAAACATGGTCACAAAGAACTTGCTACCTTGCACAGGAATGACCTCCATCAGGGTAAAGCCCAGAGGGCCAACCTCCACGTTCCAAGAATGCCTGGTCGCCACACCTGGGAGATGCCCGGTGCCACACTACAAATCACATTCCCTGCTGCCGGTTCATATATCCATATTTGTAAGTGCAACTATGATTTCATAAGCCAAATCCAGAACAAGAAAGCGACAACAATAATAAAACAAAACCAAAAAACACAAAGCAGTACTCAGAGGCTCGGGGAAAATAACTGAGCCTTCTACTACCACGGTGGCAGTAGGGGGCAGATTTGGGCTGGCCATGGTCCCCACCCAGCATGGAATGCCTGCTGTCAGTGCTTGCTGACCTGTGAGGGGGTGAGAAGGGGATGGGAAGAGGCACAGACTTTAGAAAAGGGCCAGCTGGGAAAGCCAGCTACGTAGTCACACCCAGCCTAGGAGAGAAGACCCAGGTATGGCAATGGAGGTGGTGGTGTGCGTATGTGGGGGGGCGGCTAAGTTTCAAAGCAGGCGTAGGGCAGGGTCAAGGGTGAGGAAGACAGGCAATCCTTTGCCTCCTGTCAAACTTCCCGCTCCTTTCCAGCCTCCTTTGCACACAGGCCTTTTCTGCCACCTGGAATAAAGCAGCTCAGGTTGTGGAAACTACTTTAGGAACTTGTAGCGCCATACTGATCTTTCCCCCCCCTTCAGTACCTTGGAAAAAAATGAACTAAACAGGTTTCAACTAGAACTCAAACAAAAACAGGCTATCATCCCCCTGGCCACGCCCCCTTGAAAGCCCTGTACATTTTACAGAGCAACTGAAGGAAAACAGAAAGATATTTCTGAGCCGAACCAGTGTAATGAAGCTTGTGGTCCAACCTTCCATTCCACAAGGGGAGATCAATATGACTAGATTTCAGAGCAGATTTAGTAGGCCAGCAGTACAAAATGGGACAACCCTCTGCTTTCCTGGAAACAGATTGCTTCTTGCAAGGAATAAATGCAATTCAAATATGCATTCAGATCTGTGACCCAGATTTAATGGCAAAGAAGGTGGTCACAAAGTTACATCTTTGGCATAAAATAACAAGAAATAAAAGCAAACAATTTTCATTTTTTTGAAATGTATTAAAAGATATTCCCACGTGATTTCCTTATTTATTTACTTATCGTGGTGCTGGGAATTGAACCCAGAGCCTTGTATACAAGTGTTCTACCACTGAGCTTATGACCACCACTCTTACTTTAGAGAACATCTGAAAATGTTTATGAGGAAGAAAGAGATGTCAGAGTAAGGCAGAAGCAAACACAACACCACAGTTGTATTTCAGCTTTTTACCAAATGAAGAAAAGCTGATGTTCATTTTTCTCTACCTTGCTTTATATTAAAAAATTATTAAAACTTTCCCGTAAAGAGCTTCCAAATTAAACACACACACACACACACACACACACACACACACAAAGTAACCAGTCCCAAAGTCTATACATCCCAATGAACTTCTGCAGCTAGAATTCCACACATTCTCATTGATGTTTGTTTTAACACTGGCTTTGAGGGAGATCTGTTAGCTGGAAATAGAGAGAGTGACGTCATAGGGGAGAAAGGCAGAAGGGGAACTGTGGGGTGGGGGGTGGGGTAGTGTCAGGAAAGTACAGTCTGCAGAAATGTGGGCATGATCTCTGAGTGTCTTCCCAAAGCACATTACCACACGATAAGCTACAAGGAACCAAAACAAATACCCAAGATACGTTATACTGTAGTAAAATCTTGCAAGATGCCACTACATTATACTCCACAGATCTGAGCATTCCTAAGCATAAGATTTGTTCTTGTCTGGGAGGCACCATCCTACCTGTCTTCTAAGTCTTCTAGAAGACTATTCTAGAAGAATAGAGAAATGGACTCATAAATAAATACATAGAAAGACCACTTCTTCCCTGCCAAATGCCATTGCTGGAGACAAAATTAAAGTAGGCTGGAATTGGTGCCAGATAGGTTTGGGAGGCCTACACTTCACTGTTAGTGGTGTGAGGGTTCTCACACAAGCATTGCGAGCTGCAGAGCAAACGGTGTCTGTCTTTCCACAGCGGGGACTCACACTTGCTTTCCAGTCAGGAATGTCTCAAAGCAGAAAGGAAACATTATTGGGGACATGGCAAATTCTGACCGTACTGCATGAAATCATTTTGCATATGACCTGCTGTAAAGAGAGGTCACAGTCCAATATCAAAGAGTGGGCTAAAACTCAGAGCTCTCCCACATCTAAACACCTTCACACAAACACGTTTCAGCACCGCTGTATTCCCTAACACTTCATTCACCTTGGGGCCACAGGCAGAGAAAACATCTCTTTGTCTATTCGTCTACAAGAAAACATTTACTTTGCAAAGGAGAACACTTTATTTCAATTTACACAGCTAAAGGCAGATTACTTTGACATACTCAGACTTCATTTTTGAAGCTGCATCTTTTTTTCAAACTGCTTTAACCCAATATGCATTCCTACAGAACCACTCGGTATCAGGTACAGTGGAGTGAGCTTTGGGCACTATACAGACCTGTTCGTAAGAGCCCTGGTGCATCCTGGGATTGGGAGTCCAATGTTATACACAGCATGACAGGGAAGCTACAAGCCTGGGAAGTCTTCCCAGAGCTGGCAGTAGGCGAGGCAGATTGAACAGTGAACGAACAGGATGTTACTACATACAGATAGGAGGAAAACTACGGGGTGTCAAAAGCTGTAGAGAACCCAGAGTTTTGTGCCGCTAAGGCTCTGGGGAGAGAGGTGTACAACGGAACTGAGAAGGGCAATATGGAGATCCACTGTGGGCTTTGTTGTTGCTTGTTTGTTTATTCCTAGCCCCAGCTGCTTTTATTTTGGAACAAGGTCCCACTAGGTTGCTTAGGCCTTGAACTGGTTGTGTGGTCCATGCGGGCCTTGTAGTTGTGATACCCTGCTTCAGCCTCCTGAGTAGCTGGGATTTGGGCCCTGCACCACCTTGCCAAGCTCTACTGTATTTGGTCACCTGCACAACAGGATGATGGAACGGAGGCTAGGAGCCAGAATTACAGAGGGGTGTGGCCGACAGCAAGCCAGAAGCCGCTCATATGCCCATCTGGATGGCTGTGTGACCTTACATGTTCTCACCCCCTCCCCCAATATGTTTTTCAATTACAGCCAAGTTTCCCCTTTTAATTATGTCCCCAAATATGTCATGTGTGGTTCATAAAAATCACATTCAATTGCCAGTAAACACATTAGGTAAATTTAAAAAAACAAAAACAAAAACAATATCTTACCTGAACAGAGCTGTTCCACTTTTGTGTAGTTTAGAGACACGATGTCATTAACCCATGCGATGATGTCATGCCTGCTCATAGTCTCCCAGGTTATCGAGGTAGAATACACATTGACCGCCATTCCCCAACTAGGACAAAACAAATGAATACACTTATTTACTCATGAGAAAAAAATTACCTTGGAAAGAAAAAGACAGGTAATCAAGGTTCCTTCACGTGGTCCTGACCCCGCATGGGAGGTAGAATGGCAGAGGGGGGTGGTGAAAAATCCGGCACTTATAAATGGTTTCTGAACGTGCAACAGCCAACAGTTAGTTCATAATCAGATGTGTACTGGATCCACAGAGTCCCTGGCGGTGCTTGACCATGTTGCATCAGAAGTTGTCATTGCAGCCTCCACTCTGAACACATGTATGTGTATGTGACACCTTTGAAATGCCTAAAGCCCCCTGGCTCGGATTTTGTGCTTTGCCAAATGCAGTTATTTTTGATGTACATACAAAACTTTCTACTCTTACAGAAACATGTTGGCTTAATTATAGAAAACAAGCCTTTTAATACTTTCCTGCTTGTGAGTATCAATGCATTTCTGGATTGTATTGTGCTACGACCAACAAGCACATTCATCTCTAGTATGCAAATTTGCTTTCATCTTTTTTTTTTTTTCTTCTTTCTTTTCTTTTTTTGAGACAGGATCTCACTATCTAGCTCTGGCTGGCCTGGAACTCCCTATGTAGAGCAGGCTAGCCTTGAACCTTCAGTGAACTTCAGCCTCTGCTTGCCATTGCTAAATTCAGAGTTGTGAGCCATTGTGCCCAGCTTCATGGTAAAATCACAGGCATATCCAAGGACTGTTGTACAGTTCTTTAAGATCTACTGTCACACCCCTCCCTAGGGAGCGGATGGGGGATGGGATGAGGGGGTTCAGTGGGGGACATGGGAGGATAGAAGGGAGAGGGAACTGGGATTGATATGTAAAATAAGACTGTTAAAGAAATAAAGTATCTTAAAAAAACAAACAAAATAAACAAACAAAACCGACTTACTGGACTTACTGTCATAAATGTCTGCTCCCTGTACCTATTTTACTTACCTACCTAGCTGAGCTCAGGTAAAAATTTCTCAGCTGCAAAGGGGTTTGGAGTGGGAAGTTTCAACAGCTGAGCTCTAGAGGGAGCAGCAGGCCAAACCCACTTGCTGCCCTTTCTCCCCTCGGCTCCCAGTAACGGTCTATTTGGATCACTGTTCATGTAATTCTTTCCGGTGGTAGCACTTCACATTTCTCCCTCCAGACTCCAAAGTTCTTCAGGCTCTGAGACTCTTTGAGTCTCCTTTTGACCTTAAGTCTATGTGGCTCATTAAGTTACCAGGCTTACAAGTCTGTGCACCACTGCCACTTGTTTCTTTTTTAAAAAGATTCATTTTGCAGGGTGGCGGTGGTGCATGCCTTTAATCCCGGCACTCAGGAGGTGGAGGCAGGCAGGTCTCTGTGAGTTCAAGGCCAGCCTGGTCCACAGTGTGTGTTCTAGAACATCAAGGACTACACTGAAACTGTCTTGAAAAAACAAACAAACAAACAAAATAACCCCAAAAAGATTCATTTTATTATTTTTTGGTGTGTGTGTGTACATGGGCGAGCATATATACGTGTAGTGTTCGCTGAAGGATAAAAGGCTGCTGGGTCCCCTGGAGCAGGCATTGCAGGTGGGTGTGAGTGGCTCACTGTGGGTGCTGGGAACCAAACTAGATCCTCCCGCAAGAGCCGCCGGTGCTCCTAACCACTGAGCACGCCTCCAGGCGGCAACCTTGTAGTTTTCCACATTATCTCATAGAACCATTCTTATAAGTACTTGAAGTGCCAGTGTCTTGGGGGGGGCTGCCCCTTCTAACAGGTGTGTGCTAGTAAAGGGTTCTTTGTAACATCTGAACACTTTGCAATTCTAACTTCACATTCAATTTCACAGAGTATCTATATACATATATGATAGAGGCATATTAAAGTTTATTTCAGCAACAATCAAATATACACAAAAAAGAAATGGAGCAGAATAACCAACCAGTCGTGTCTATGTGGTGGTTTGAAAGAAATCGGCCCCCCAAAGGGAGAGGCACTATTGGGAAGTGTGTCACTAAGGAGGCAGGGTTTGAGGTCTCACGTATGCTCAAGCCACACCCACCGAGAAAGTGCACCTCCTGTTGCCTTTGGATCAAGAAGTAGAACTCTCCAGCACCATGCTTATCTGCACGGTGGCCCATTTGCAGTCACTATGCTCCTGTCGTGTTGATAATGGCCTAAGCCTCTGAAACTGTAAGCCAACCCCAGTTAAATGTTTCCTTGTAAGATTTGCCGTTACCATGGTGTCTCCTCACAGCAACAGAAACCTAACTAGGACAGTCTACATCTTGGATTCAGAGACAACCAATTCTCCACCAGGCTTGCTTTACTTACAGTTCCATCAACTGCCCTTGGCCAGTCCCATTCCTGGACCTGCAGGCCATACCATTTTACAGTAAATGGCAAGCATCGAGTCATTTCAGTTAAAGATATTTCAGTGTGTTTTGGAAAGATGGAGACAATAAAAACACTGAAATGGCCATTGTTTTTAATATGGAAGTCATATTAAAAATGGCTGGTCATTTCTGTCTTAGTCTGACTATGAATTCACATACTGAGTACACACTGTACTTCCTTGGTGGCTTATTCCTTTGCTATTAACTGCAGGCTTGTCTTCATTTCAGTCTTTCATGTAGAGACTTGTAATTGCTATCAAAAGAAATATGTCCTTTGGCAGAATTTCCAACCGGATGTGTCCACTCGCCACACTGGTGTGGTTTGATGCTGCTCCGGTCTTTGCTTTCCTGTACCCTATGATGTGATCTATAAATTGTGTCTGGTTCAGGCCCTAATCTAGGGAGTGAGGTGGAAGATTCCTTCATGCAGTGTCTGAAATTTCCCTAGTAATCAGAGACTGGTCTGACTCGTTTTATCATGCTGTAGACATTGTGATATTTGCCTAGCTATTGTCTGTTGGTCATTCTTAACTTATGTGCAGTGACCCCACAAAGAGGAATCCCCCTTCTGAGAGAGCCTGAGGTCAGAACATGGACACAACACAGAGCATGCCCTGACTACTCCTGTACTCTGTACTGTAATGGGGCTTCCTGAATATTCTCTGGCCAACATGATTTTTATTTTTCTTTATGAAGTATAGCCACGAAATCAGAGTTTTAGCAAACTTGACATACTTTAGTCCATTGTAGTTTATATCTGGACTTATAAAAGAAAAGTATGCAAGTGCCTATGCTTACTTGGGTTTTCATTTCTTTTAATAAAGTCATTTCTTAATTTCTGTTGTGACAAAATGTTCCAGGCTCAACTGGTAACTTTCCTACCCCTGATCTAAAATGAGTCCTTTTTCCCAGGGCCCCCAGCCCCTTTCTGTAACTGACAGTACTTGGTGATATAGAAGTAAATGTCTTAAACATGACTAGATGGAATACCAATATTTAAAGTTTACAGGCTCTATACAAAGGTTCTATATGTTTATTAAGCAAGTGTGCTTGGAGCAGTTTACTTTCATTAAATGATGCCAACCAGCTTCCTGTGTCAAGGTATTATGAAATGGAGCCACATGAAAACAGCATCCACACATCATCTAAATTCTCTTTCCCTGAAGACCTGGGAACAATCTGCCAGCATTGAATCCCAGATAATGTGACCGTGAATATGACTTTTCTACACTTCTATTAAAGGTTCTTTTGGTTTTCAGTCAATAGCTGTCACCATTTTCTTTAATGACCACTTGAAACCATTTACTTTTATAATGTGAGCACCTTTCACCAACTTTAATAAATTATATGAAACTTTAGTAAGGATAAATAATTCAAAATTTAAAGTATTTTGGACTGCTTGATGTGATTTTTATATACTGACATAACTTTTGGCAGTCGATGTACTTTTCCTAATGATCTTTTCATGTGGTAATAAAAAGCCTTCACATTTCCGAGCAACAGATAGATGCAAGGTGAAGTGTCAAGGCCCAGAACTAGGTGGCATCCAACCCAAGGGAGATGAAAACTTTGCTCCAGGTGATTTAAAAACAAAACTAAACACAAAGCAGAGAAAGGTAAAACAGATCTCTGTTGGACAAGCATGCCCCACTTAGTTAAAAATTGTTTGTAGTTATATCTATAAGGTGAAGAATAGCAAATACAATGGGTAGATCAGATCTTTAAAAATATATGTGAGAACAACAGAGTGAACAGAGTGGACTGCTACAGCCCAGCCACGAAGCACTTCCTCCAGATCTAAGGTGATAGCATTCTCCCTAGGCCACTGTCCTTTCATAACCCAACCATTCATTCTTCAGCCACAAACAAGTAAGGTGCTGCTACACGCTGTCAGAGAGCTCATGAAGATGAGAGCAGCACCGGTTTGTGCTTTAGAAAACTCTGGTTAGCTAGTTATCAGCCCACCCCTCTACCTTCTCCGGCGATCGGGTCTCCAATCAACACACTTGGAAATGTGCTTTAGAAAACTCTGGTTAACTAGTTATCAGCCCACCCTCTACCTTCTCCCATGATCGGTCTCCAATCAACACACTTGGAAATGCTGCCGTGGAAGGCCCTGGTGGGGAAACTAGGTAAGGCGACGGAGCAAGAGGAAGGATAATCCAACAAAAGGGAGGACACTCTAGCATTTACAAAAACAAAACAAAACAACACATTTAATACATTCCAATAGGTATTTGAATTAACAGCAATTGGATCAATATAAATGTCTATGGGCTATCTATGCTGACTGGAGCATTCTTATACTCTGTGTTCTTCCAAACTTCAGAAAGACACTACTTTTTAGCTACCATACAAAGCATTAGATTTCACTATGGTATCTTCAAGCAAAACTTGGTTTTGCTGTTTCTCCTTCCCACCTCTTCTCCCAACTCCCTGTCCCCCCCCCCCCCCCCCGCCCCGTGATTTTTCAACAGCAGTGGCCTCCTCTCTATTTTCATGTCACATGTTCTTCTGCCGCCTCAACACTTCTATTGGCCCTCCTGATGGCTCTCTGTCGGTTTCCCATCTACACACACCCACATATATACATATGCAGGTAAACACTGAAAGGTAG